CTCTCTCTCTCTTCCCCTCCTTGTTTATGTAAATGCATTGAGAGGCGTCCCTCTCTCAGCACGTTATCGCTCAGAAAGTTTTTCCTTTGAGGGGGAGGGGATTTTCTCTTCTGAAGACAAATAGCTCATTTTCACTCACAGTTTGCTCCTTAACTCACAGTTCATTGTTGGTCTTTATTTTGACCACGCTCTTAATCGCTCCTCCGCTAGATCTCCTGCGCTTGATCAGGTCAACACAGCTTGTGGCCTCGCTAAGAGGATGCAGTCAGCAAGAGGGACTGTTAGGGCGGAGGGGAGCCTCTATCTCCCTGCCGTTATCAGGAAAAGAGGCTCACTCTCAAAAGCCCTATGGCTTGGGAGTTCTCCCTGAACTCCCGTGGGGGTGCCGAACCAGCAGCACCTCTCCCCCTCACTGCTGTGCGGTATGCCTCCCCAGAGAGCTGGGAAAGGTGTCTGCCATTGTTGTGTCGTAGACCCCGCCCCCCGGAATTATGAGGTTCAAAGACATACAACTCAAACCCAGAGTTGTATCTGATGAAGGGAGTTTTGACTCTCAAAAACTCATACCCTGAAAATTTTGTTAGTCTCTAAAGTGATACTGGACTCATATCTAACTCTTTTACTGCAGACTAACACAGCTACCCGCTGAAACTAAACCCAAACTTAGTTTCTCTTCTCAGTGAATCCAGACCAAAAGTTTCAAGGCCAACTTTAGAAAACTCGAAATAGCCCTTCATTCAGGTTTTCTGTGGCACTGATATAGTCATCAGTTTCTTGCAGCCTTCCTTCGATACCATGATGTTACTTCACACACTTGGGTTAAAAAAAAAGTGTGTGTATGCGTGTGTGCCTGGAAGTCATGGCAACTTCTGGTGAACCCTACTGGGGCATGGAGGACATTCAGAGAAGTGGCTTGATACAGCCTGGCCAAGTTCAGACTGGCAGTTTGCCCCGATATAGGCACGTGTGAGGAACGTTTCACAAGCAAATTGAAGGGGCCATTCACACAGGCACATCTGTCCGGCGTTCCCCACCTATACTCAACCCGTCTTGTAGTGCTTGCCTGCTGGGTTTAAAAGATACATGGTGAAAGTGGTAGCAAGCCCTGGAGAGCCCGTTTATCCCGCTTCATTCTGCTTCCCGGAAGTGTGAACGCTAACCACTAAAAGCCGGGAACAGCCTGCGTTAATAATGTGCGCCGGCTGTTTACACTGACTGATCTCCTAGCCTCACTCTGGCACCAGGAAGGTGCAGGTGATTGCCCTGAAGAGGGGGTAATGATGTGGCCGGATGTGCCCACAGCGGCCGGATCCTGCCCTATTTGCTGCTGTGCCTAGGCGCCTACACACGTAGGCACCCATCCGCATAGGCGTCTGCCACAAGGAAAACGCTGCTTATAGCCACGCCTCCAGGCCAACAGTGTGAACACTCCCTCGCGCCTCCTCCCGGTATGCTCCCACATCAGTCCACACAGTGTGACCGGGAAAACCCGGAACAGTTTGTTTTACTGTTCCGGCTCTTTTTTGCAACGACTCCCTCCTGCTTCAAACTGCCAGTCTGAACTCAGCCCCTGCCTCTGCGTCTGCCTCCCTCCCCTGGTATTCCTTGGAGGTCTCCCATCCAAGTACTTGCCAGGCTGGGCCCTGCTTAGCTTCTGAGATCTGAGAAGATTGGGCTTGCCTGGGCAATCCAGGTAAGAACACACACTTGATTTTTAAAGGTTTGATCTCATGTACTGATATATCAGATAGCTGAGCAAATGCTGTTTTATAATGCATTATCACTTAAAACCAAAATAAAAGGGGTATTTTATGAAATGTTACTTGTGATAAGTAATATCCCAGAAACATTTCATTGTAACTGAGTGACACAGAATACCGAACTTGTTTTAATGCCATGGATATAGTTATCGCCTCCCAAATCATCTGCAGAAGAGATTGTTCTACTGCTCTGATGGCTTTCTGTTCTCTTTTAGAAGTTTTAACTGATAAAGTTTTACACAACTTAACGTACTGTGATATCTCAGATCTACCGATAGAGCCCATTGAATCACCCCATTCCCTTACATCAGGTTCAAACCGCAAGGGCACAAAGAGAAGCACTTCTGGTGCTGCCACCTCCCCCCCAGGGGGGGGATCACCAAAATCCAAGCCTGAATGCCCCTGAGAAGCACTGCAAAGTCTTTGAGGCTTCAGGTTCTATTGGCCTACATGTCCATGAAAGTTTACTTAGATGAGACTTCATACATTTGTTTTCCAAATGTTACCTTCCCCAAGCCATTTTTGTTTCGGCAGCCTGTACACAACTAGGCAAAGAAATACGTAAGACATTGTCAGTCTAGGGACCAGCATTATTGCTTCAGCAGGCAACTATGGATTCTTTTTTGTCATTCTCTCTTTTCCTTTCAATTTAGGATTTTGACCTGCTAGTGATTTCAGTAGCAGATGAAAACGATAACCACCCACTCTTCACTCAGAGTTCTTACCAGGCTGAGGTGCTCGAGAACTCCCCCCCAGGTGGGTGTTTCCTCCAACATATATCAGTATCTCCAGACTTGCAGAATGTCTCTTTGCCTAGTACCTCACAAACTATTACTGGAAGGATCAATTTTTCCTCATGGCACGAGTAGTGTTAAAAGCACAAGAAGTGCTTTCTCAGGTTGTTTTCTGAAAGTCATGGTCGATTCTCCCACACAAGTGGTGAAAACTTTCCATTTTACTGTTTTCCTCACCAGCTTCTCAGAAACAGGAATGCTTCCCAGAAGCCCTGGCAAAGTGGAAGTGACAAAACAAATTCCTCTGCTCTTACCTTAAATGAACAGCATGACCTCAAATGAATTAAACCTATTCTTCCCTGGAAAAACAGCAGATACAGACTACTTAAATGCCAGATGTTAGGTTTAAGCAAGTTGTAGTACACCAGTGTCAGAAAATGAAGAGCAGCTGTGTCCAACAATATACAAAAACTATTCAGTAAAGCTGGTGAGAAGTTTGTGAAGATGCTATATGGGGGAATTTAATGCAGTACGGTATAACCCTTGGGAAAAAGAGAGCTTGCTTAAAACACCTTGGATTTTTAGCAGCAGTGTTCTTCTTTGTTTTAAAAATTAATTAAAGGTCTTTTGTGCAGTATTGTTTGATACAGAAAACTGAGTTGCTGTGATTACTTAAATGACCACAGTTCTTTTCTTCTCTCTTAAAATTGCAGACTATTTAACTTCATTAGTTTTACAGTTATTCCACCAGCTGGTTGGGACTTTTAGGAACTTAGTTTATAAACTTCATGAATGTAGGGTGTGACCCCTCCTACCTCCCTCCCTTGAAAGATGTTTGTAGTAAGGGAATGAGAGTATAGTAGTGTGATGTGCTCTCACTTGCTGATACCAGCTATATCAGTATAGATTAAAACACATATTCGTATTTCACCCTTCAAATTTAAGAAATTGCACATAAATACACACCTCCCTTCAATTCAAAGTCACACAAGTTCTTTATTTGGATACTGTTTGGCACTCTGTTTGTTTCTAAAACGTTTATACTTTGGTGAGTCCCAGTGCGTCTTTACCTCTCACACTGGTATGCAGATTAGTGTGAATTTAGGAGTCAACTAAGGAGGCAAACCTGCCACTGAATGTCCTTTCACTTAAACATGCTGATGGATTTGTTTGTTTTCTCTTAGCAGGGCTTTAAGGCTTCTCCCCAGGGGGCTTCTTGATTCAGTCTGCCAAGGTTGCACCACACGCTCCTCTGCTGTCTCATAGGGCCTCACCCTGTTTCATTCATCCATTTTTCACTTTTGATCATTTGGGTGGTGAAGGGAGGGGAAGATGGAGGAGTCTATTAATGTTGTTCTTGTTATTGAGATCTCTGTGTTCGATTCAGGAACTCACATCACAGTGCTTAATGGACCAATTCTAGCTTTGGACCGTGACCAGGGTATCAATGCAGTAGTGACATACCAGCTGCTTGGGATGGCAAAAGACCTTTTCATCATCAACAACAGAACAGGTAAGACAGTCTTCTAACCGATAGCCAAAGGAATCTTCACCCTGACCAATGGGAAAGCAGGGTGGAAGTCAAAGAAAGGAACTTTGGTTGGGTGGGTAAGGCAGTTTAGAACTTGGAATTCTACTACAGTTGGAGAAGAACTGAAAGAAAAAGTATGTTGAAGAAGAAGAAGAAGAATTTAAAGCTGGAGAAGAGGCAAGAAATACAGACAAATCTGATGGCTGGGAAAACTCAGTTGATCAATGGACAACTTCAGGTGAAAAGCAGTAGCAGCAAAGAACTGAATGGTTTGAAAGGCCATAGCTCTTGTTTGTTGCTGGATGTAGGAACTTTTCTATCGGTAAAGAACCTAAGAAAATAAGAAGCGTTCTTCTGGATAAGACCAGTGGTCCATCTAGTGGTGGTGGTGGTAGAGGTGGAAAATGCCATCAAGTCAGAGCTGACTTATGGTGACCCCATGAGGTTTTCAAGGCAGGAGATGTTTAGAGGTGGTTTGCCATTCCCTGCCTTCGCAGCATGCCCCTGTTATTCTTTGGAGGTCTCCCACTCGAATATTAGCCAGATCTTACAACATCAGTCTAGCCTGGGCTATCCAGGTCAGGGCAGTCCGTCTAGACCCCACAGTGACCAGCCAGTTGCCCTGGTAGGCCAAGCAAACAGGGCATAGAGCCTTCCCCTGCTGTGGCCTCCCAGAGTTTTGCTGCCTCTGCAGATGGAGGCTGACTTTAGTCATCATGGCTAGTAGTCTTTGATGGACCTCTGCTGTATTAATCTGTCTGACCCCCCTCCTTTAAAGCTATGTATGCTCGTGGCCATTACCACCTCCACTGGCAGTGAATCCCCTAGTTTAATTTTTGTTTGTTTGTCCTGAGCCTTATTTACCAACAATTTCATTGGGTGCCTGTGTTCTAGTATTGTGGGAGATGGCGGGAAAACGTCCTTCAATCCAATTCAATAAATCTCTAGCATGTTTTTCCTTAGCCATCTTTTTTCTAGACTGAAAAGTCCCATAAGAAAGGTGTTCCAATACCTTAATCATCTCGGTTGCCCTCTTTGATACTTTTTCTAGCTCTACAATATCCTTTTTGGAATATGGCAACCAGAACGGCATTCAGTATTCCAAATGAGGCCTCACCAAAGCTCTATACAAGGGTATTACAATATTGGCCATTTTATTTTCAATCCCTTTCCTAATAATTCCTAGCATAGAGTTTGCCTTTTTCACCTCTGCTGCACATTGAATCAACTTTCTTTCAGTCTCAGCATATATTTAAAATAAGGATTTTTTCCAGATACGCATCACCTTACACTTACCCACATTGAACTTCATTTGCCATGTAGTTGCCCATTCACCCAGTTTAGAGAGATCCCCCTGTAACTCTTCACAATCTACCTTGGTTTTCACCATCCTGGATGATTTGGTATCACCTGCAAAGAGGACCATGTGGAGTGTTCCCAGGGGTTATATGCCCTCTGGGTCTGTGCCCCTCTGACTGAGTGCCCTGCTGGACAGGCTTGCCATTACCTGCCCCTGTCATGGGGCAAGGCAAACACCTTTCTGCTGGCTGATTAGTGAAGAGGGCAGTTTTCTGATACAGCCAGAAAATCTGATTTGGAGGAACCTCAAACAGTAGCCCTATATAACTTTAACAGATAACACAATTAGTTGGGTTGTTATCTGTAGTAGAATAGGCCTAGTTTATACACAAGCCAATCATGTTGTATGGGTGAAGGTAGTAGTAGTACCACTGTTAACTCTTGCCTCTCTTCAGACCTCCAATCCATTGGTCTCTACTAAACATTATATTAATACATTAGTATTCTGTGTAGATTCTTTTGACCTTTCTTTGTTTTTAAAAATTTTGTCCTACCTTCCTTCTTTACACAAGCACTCAAGGTGATTCTGAAATACGCAAATGTTGTGCTTGCAGTAAGACTACCAGACTGTATAACACCAGTAGAGCAAAAGCAGAGGAACAGAATCACCAAGCAGCGCACTTGTAGCTAGGCTGAACCATTTCATTCTGCAGGTGGGGGTGACTGACTGCTCCCTGCCCATATAAAGCCAGCATAGTAATATGAAGGCTAACTAAAACATACTAGCCTTGTGCGTATGAGGTGTATTTTAGGTGCAATTGTGCTCATTCCATATTCCACCTTGCACTATGAAACATCTAGCAACAGATACATCATGTGGTCCTTGTATTCATCTGTTTAACTCATAGTAGGGCAATTCAAGAAAAGGCTACTCACCAATGGGGCTGGACTTGTCTTAGCCACACATTAGGTTAGTTGGAGGACTCACCATACTGTTTACAGCATTGCCTGCTTTTATTTTTCAGCCCAGCACAATATGTGTGTGCATGTTAAGTGCCATTAAGTCACTGCAACTTGCATCGACCCTGTGAATTAATGACCTCCAAATTGTCCTGTCATTAACAGCCTTGCTCAGGTCTTGGAAATGGAGGGCCCTGGTGGCTTCCTTGATTGAGTCATGCTGGGTTTTCCTCTTTTCCTGCTACCTTCAGCTTTTCTAAGCATTATTGTCTTTCCCAGTGACCCTTGTCTTTTCATAATGTGACCAAATTCTATTTAAAAGTTGTCTGAGTTATAGACAACCTAAATTTTCTGAAATCACACCTCATACCATTTTTCTGGTAATCTTCACATATGTTTTGTGATGTGTGTGATATGGATCATGGGCTTGACAAACCAAGAATATAGAACATAGGTGACATGAATATATTTTCCAACTAATGAAGTCTCCAGGCCACTTTGTATTTGTTGCAACTTGCAAGTGACAATCTATATTTTGAAGGGTACAGTGTGCTGTAGTTTCCAGTTTTGGTACCATGTTTATACTCTGTAGCATATTTAGTAGAGTTTGAGAAGCTTTGGAGTATATTTTTTATAGTTTGTTTTTATCCTTTCTAATTAATTCTTCTAAATCCCCTCCAGGTGTCGTTCTGGTGAAGCCAGGCCGGTTAATAGACAGAGAAGCCTTCCTGAATCCAGTTCTGGAGTGTCTACTGCTTGCAGTGGATGTTGGCAAGCTGAACAGCACAGCTAGGCTCACATTGACTATCCTGGATGATAATGACAACAGGCCAGTCTTTCACCCATCAGCCTTGACTGTTCGAGTGCTGGAAAACATCTCTCCAGGTCAGAATAACAACAAAGCACAGAAGGCTTTTGAATCTGAGATGTGAATGGGTATTGTAGATTTTATGCCCTGGCCTGGAAGGCTCCGGCTAGCCTGATTTCATCAGAGCTTGAAAGCTACGCAGGGTCTTCTCTGGTTACTGCTTGGATGGGAGACCACCAAGGAAGTCTGGGGTTGCTATGCATAGGCAGGCAGTGACAAACCACCTCTGTCTCTTGCTTTGACAACCCTACAGGGCTGCCATAAGTCGGCTCTGTGTGTTGGTTGCCAATCTCCAGGTGGGTATGCAAAAGTATATAACACTGTGTATAATAGAGGTATGTAAGGTAGCCGCTACCTGATAGGACTTGAGAGATATGCTATCCTAGATAGGTTATTATGTTTGCTGCAAGGGTTCCGATGGGACCCTAGAAAATATGTTGGTATATTAAGAGTTTTGTGCTCACAAAGAGAAATTATTGTGCCTTATGTCCTTTATATACATCACAGTCCTTGAAAAAGATTGTATTTGAAATGGGTAAATTACTAGAGTCCTGTAGGACTAGTGATTGTGAAACTGACAAAGTGCTGTCTGAATATTTGAACAGAATGTAAACCTGCACTTTGATGTATTGTTTGGGTGAAACCTGTTTTTGATAATGTTTGACACTAAAATTAAAAAAAAAATTAAAAGCACAAAGTTGATCTACCTTAAACATACATCTATTATACACAGTGTTATATACTTTTGCATATCTTCCTAACTCTGTGATCCTCAGTTTTTGCATAATCTCCAGGTGGGGCCTGGAGATCTGTCATAATTCCAACTGATCTCCAGATGGCAGAGATCAACTCCTCTGGAGAAAACGGCTGCTTTGGAAAGTGGGCTCTATGGCACTGCACCCCACAGAGGTCTTTCTCCTTCCCAAACCCTCCCTTCCCCAGGCTCCACCCCCCAAATCTCCAGGAATTTCCAGTCCAGAGTTGACAACCATAGACTAGACAGCACACACATTCACATGGCAAATTTTAAAAGAAGAATGAAAACCCAAAAGTAACAAAGTGCTGAGCAAGTGAGTTTGCTAATTTGTTTTTTCTAGTGACGCTGAGCTGAACATTTCTTTTTTTGTCAATAATCTGACACCAGGGTTATTTTCCCAGAAGGCTAGATGGTGAATCTTTGTGGGTTTTTCACTGGCCATAAAATAGCAATGCCATCAGTGGAATTCAAAAGTGTTTGTGTGTGCATGTGCAGATTGCCTGCAGATTTTTCTAGCAGGCATTGTTAGTTTCTCTTCATTTTAATGTTTTTTTAGTAAGATAATAAGGAAGAACAGCAATTTGATTTTATGTGTGGTTTATTTTCAGTCACCAACTTAGTTTTTGCCAGTTCATGTTTGTAAAAGTCATCATAGTTTTTCTTTTAATCCAAGATTACACATTTTATACAGGGCCTTTATTCAAGTCCAGAGAGTATGCAGTTTATCAGCATGTCTCCCCATATATGAATGACCTTGCACAGTCTTATGGCATGAATTTAGTTACTTTGGCCCTGTGTGAAAAAGCTGAAATTCTGGAATTCTTTACAAATTACTGAAAGGAGACATTTATTGCTGTTGCTATCATGTTGTATATATCTTCCTTCATAGCAGCCACTAGTACTTACTCCCAGGAATTGGATGCTGGACATGTCCCTCTAAGGAATCTTGCAAGATGTCACCTCTTTTGTTCTAAAGACCCAAATAACAGAAAAGCTCTCTAATGTCACAGTCTGGGTTTCCCCCTAGGTTTTTCTGTCCTTCAGGTAACAGCAACTGACAAAGATAATGGCCTCAACCAACAGCTGAGCTACCGGATTGAGAGTGGAGCTCAAGACAAGTTCTTGATCGACAGCGACACCGGGGTGATCAGTGTGGCCAACACCACTATAGACCGAGAAGAAAAGGACAACTACCGGTTGACAGTGGTTGCCGTGGATCGGGGTACACCCCCCCTCTCTGGCACAGCCACTGTGAGTATCCTCATTGATGACATCAATGATTCTCAGCCAGAGTTCATCAACCCCATCCAGACGGTCAGCGTGCCTGAGTCTGCTGCCCTAGGCACAATTGTTGCTGAGGTAACAGCAATAGACAGAGACCTCAATCCCCGGTTGGAATACTACCTCATTGAAATCATGGCCAAAGATGACGCTGATGCTCTTGTGCCAGACCAGCAGGCTGCTTTTGCAGTGGATTTTAAAACAGGTACCGGAGTTGGGGTGGTGGTGGATTCTGAACAATTCTTAATTTAAGTTTGTAGATGCTAATAACATACACAGTTATTAAGGAAGATTAATGCTCATAGAAATAGAGAGAAAAATAAGTGTACTATTTCAGCTATGGGTATGCTGTTTCAGCAATGCTATTTCAGCTGTTGAAAATAAATATCATTGGCCCAGAAAGCATTTATGTTTATTGTTCTATCAAATTAGACAGTTGAAGAGCTGGAAAGGTCAGCTCTTTGCTGTTAAAGGTCCCATTTCCCTTAAGAGAGATGCTGGTGCAACTGGCAGTGATGAAGATGGTTTTTCACTTTTTCTATCGTTCACTATTTCTCTTTTCTTTACACATCTTGCTCTTTTCCCTATCTCCTGTTTCTTTTTCTTCTATCTTTTCCTTTCTGTTTCTCTGTATACTGTTTGACTGGTACTTGCTTCAACTAACTGTTCCTTTTGTTTCTCTTATGGCTCTCAGACCTGCAGGTTTGATATCTATATTTCTATCAGTATATTCAGTGTTTGCCTTCCATTTCAGTCAGCACCTTCTCCATCTTCATTTTCATCCCCCGTTTTAGTGCTGGTTTGTGTCTTGCTGGCAGACTGCAGTTGAAACACATCCCTGCCACGCATTGTGTTCTAGCCTTCACAGACTGAATGCTGACAGCCTCCCAGAAGCCCCTAGCTGGTAGGGAGTGGGAGGGGCAAACATATTTAGAGTACATGACCTGTGTTTTTGTGTATAGGGGAAGGAAAACAAAGGACCTGAATCAAATGTAATCCAAAGTTGCAAACAAATTATTGCTGGTAGTATGATCCTAAAAAAATTATTTCTGGTTATCTGCTTGCAATTCACATATCTATCCCACTTTTCCCCAAGGAGCTCCAGTTTGACATACATGATGCAACCTCAGTTTATTCTAAGCAAAGCCTGGTGAACGGGGTTAGACCAAGAGGTAGTGACATGCCCAAAGTCATCCAGTGAGCTTCAAGGCTGAGTAGGCAAAAGCATATTCCAGTTACCCTTCCTATAAAAATGCTGTCTGTTTCTGTATACAGCTGTCTTCAGAAAATACAAATACTGTTCATAATAGAAAAGTATGCAGTTTATAAGGGAGAATTAAAAAGCATAGTGTTAAGCAATGGAATGGGACTGAAAGCAATCTAGGTTAACGTTTTGTTGTTGCTGTTGTTTTGTAGACAGGATTGCTAGCTAACAGTGTGGTCCCTATGCTTCTTCAGTCTAAACCCATTGATTTCATTGGGTTTACACTGGAGTCACTGCCTAATACTGAATTGTAATTTAGGGAAAGCTCTATATTCAGTGTAAGTATAAAAGGGCAGAATTTTGTGTAGTTCAACAACATGGTTTAACTGACAATTCCCCCTTTTTATTCCTACTTTTCAGGTGCTGTGAAAGTTAAGTCGACTCTAAATAGGGAGCTGGTGGCCACATATGAGGTCACAATTTCTGTCTTTGACAATTCCAGTGATGTGGTTGATCGCTCAGTTAGTGTGCCAAATGGTAAGGTAATTCCTACTACAGATTAGGCAAACTGGTTTGAACTAAGGGTGTGCAATTTTTTAAAAAGTTGGTATTTGGTATTCGTATCCAGGCTTTTTTGGAAATCCTGAATTTTTTCAGGTCTGATAGACCCAAGAAGAAAAATACCAGATATTTTTTTAAAGGCAGCCCGATCCTGGGTCTGGCTTGGCTTCTCCTGCAGCCTAGTTTAAACTAGGTCTCAGGATAAACCAGCTCCAGGATCTGTATACCTCAGGGAGATCACTCTCTGAGGCATGCAGATCCTGGCTTGGATGGCTTCTCCCGCAGGACAGTTTAAACTGAGCTGCAGAAGGAGTCAGACCCAGGATTTGCATGTCATAGGGAGATCGCTCTCCAAGGAACACAGATCCTGGCTGGGACAGCTTCTCCTGCAGCATGTTTTAAACTGCACTGCAGAAGGACCCAGACCCAGGATCTGTGTGCCTTGGGAAGATTGCTCCCGGAGGGCTTCTCCTGCGCTGTGGTTTAAACTGTGCCACAGAAGGGGCCAGACCCAGGATCTTCATGCCTTAGGGAGATTGTTCCCTGAGGCGCACATATCCCGGCTGGGATGCCTTCTCCTGCAGCCCGGTTTAAACTGGGCTGCACAAGAAGCCAGCCCTAAGCCAAGCTGGTGGGAACAGTCTGCTCCCTCCAGCACAGCCAATCCTGATTCTCAGGCTGTCTTCTGCAGCCCTTTTAATGTTTAAAGGGACTGCAGCAGAAGCCCGACAAACAGCTGAGAGGTGTGAGCAATCTGCTCATGCCTCTCCTATGTTTTCAGATCTATCAGTAACTCTTAAATATATCTGGGGTTTGGGGGGGAATTTTTTTTCAGTTTCCTTGTGAAATCCCAGATACATTTGGGAAGCCAAAATATACCCCAAAAATACTGATAAGGTGTTTTGGAGGTATATATTCTGTTTGGGTAGACCCCAGTGCACACTCCTAGTTTGAACTGTAGTGTTAAGATATAAAAAAAGAATACTGTCAGACTGTATAATATTCAGGGATACTTAATTCCTTGCTTCCCATTTCTTTCCTTCACCTTCTGTCTTTTGCAGCAAAGCTGACAGTAAATGTATTAGATGTCAATGATAATGCTCCTCGGTTCCGCCCTTTTGGGACAACATTTTTCACAGAGAGGATCCTGGAAGGGGCCACTCCAGGGACCACCTTGATATCTGTGTCAGCTGTAGATCCAGACAAGGGTGCTAATGGACAGATCACCTATGAATTACTCAACCTTTCTCCTGAGGGATATGTCCAGCTTGAAGACATCTCAGCAGGTTGGTGGGACAATATGACTATTTTCTTTTTTACTGAATTCTGAAGAGATTTCTCCACAAGAATGAAGGGAGACTATTCTCCAGAAGGTAGAAATTTCCAATGGTACAAAACTTTATTTCTTTACAAGGAAGAAAGCCTGTTGTGGAAATAAATACAATGAGCTCTACAAAGAGGCTCTGGGTGGGTGCCTTGGGCACTCAACATCAGTTTGCTGTGGTGACCTCAACAAGGTATAATTACACAGAGTCCACCCTGCAAAGCAGCAGTTTTCTCCAGGGGAACTGATCTCTGCCATCTGAAGAGCAGTTATAATTCTGAGTTATTTCCAGCCCTCACCTGGAGATTGGCAACAATGGTTTCCCAGGAGGAAATGGCTGGTTAGGAGGGTGGAGTCTATGGCATTGTACCTATCTGAGGTCCCACCCCCTCCTCAAACCCCACCCTCTCCACGCTCCACCCCTCAACTCTCCAGGAATTTCCCAACCTTGGGCTGGCAACCCTAATCAAGACTGGCCCCAATTAGTTCCTCACAAAAGCTAAAGTAGGCCTGGAAAGGACCTCCTGCTCCTGCCTTTTTACTGACAGAACCAAGCTTGGTTGCCTAGCAACAGCCACTGAAGGGGAAGTGAGCTCCACAGCAGGAGGAGAAGAGAATAGGTTGACGGCCGGTGGCTCACCTCAGTAGCCAGCCAATCACAGAGATGCAAAGCAACTGTAGAAGCATCTCTGTCAGGAGAGACAGCCATTTTGGCAGTTTATTCAGGCAGGGAAGAGTGTCCAAGCCGGCAGTGGGAGAGAGGATCAGAACCAGCACCCAGCCAATGGCACACGAGTACTCTTGAGTGGTGGTCGATGTGCCAACTGCTGATGGAATGCACAGCACAGCCAATGGGAGAGCTGGAAAGTACCAATATGCTAGGGCTTTTATATATACAGGATGCTATCAGTTACAGAGTAATATAAGCAAAAAAGATAAGTTACTTACCCAAGAATATTACAATGTATATTCAACAGTCTTGGGGTCAGGATTAGTTCATGATTACCAACTACGATTTTGATGGCACTAGCATTCACTCACATTTATTTATCTATTTCCCAAATGTGCCCCCTATCTGCAGATGTGTAAATCCACAGATAGTGGGCACACTTATCCAAACAGGTTTTTCGGGAAACTTGGGTGACCGCCTAGGTATGCAGAAGAATCTGACAAATTAAAAAAATACATTTGGGGTTTAACCCCCCCCCAAAAAAAAAATAGAAGGGCAATGCACTTACTGTTGAGCTGCTGGAGAGGCGTCCAGTGGTTACTGCCGCAGTGACAGCAACAGATCCTTGGAGCTGCCAGTGGGACCAGCCATGGTGGCAGCAGAGCCCAGGAGCTGCTGACAGGGCCAACTGTACCAGTGGTAGAGCCTGGGAACTGCTCTAGGCCTGGCTGTGGTGGTGGCAGAGTCTGAGAGCCGCTCCTGGCACATCCACAGCAGTGGAAGAGCCTGGGAACCAGTTCAGGCTCAGAGCATCTCCCAGACACCACCACCACTGTGGCTGGGCTCCAAAGGAGTTGCACCAGACAGTGATGGGGGAATGGCCTCTGTCTTCACTGTGGAAGATGAGAAGTGCTTGCCCACTCCAGAACCGCTGATTTCAGGAGGGGTGTTGAAAGACCTGAGTCAGATTGAGGCGACGAGAGAGGAGGTCCTAAAACTTATAGACAACTTAAAAACTGATAAATCACCAAGCCCAGATGCCATACATCCGAGAGTTCTGACAGAACTCAAATGTGAACTTGTGGATCTCCTGACAAAAATATGTAATCTTTCCTTAAAATCTGCCTCCATTCCTGAGGACTGGAAGGTAGCTAATGTCACTCCCATCTTTAAAAAGGGTTCCAGAGGAGATCCGGGAAATTACAGGCCAGTCAGTCTGACGTCGATACCGGGTAAATTGGTGGAAACCATTATTAAGGAAAGAATTAGTAGGCACATAGATGAACAAAACCTATTGAGGCAGACTCAACATGGGTTCTGTAAGGGAAGATCTTGTCTCACTAACCTATTAGTGTTCTTTGAGGGGGTGAACAAACATGTGGACAAGGGGGATCCAATAGATATTATTTACCTTGACTTCCAGAAAGCTTTTGATAAAGTTCCTCATCAAAGGCTCATAAGTAAGCTCAAAAATCATGGGATAAAAGGACAAGTCCTTTTATGGATCAAAAACTGGCTAATTAATAGAAAACAGAGAGTGAGTATAAATGGGCAGTTCTCCCAGTGGAGGGGGGTAAGCAGTGGGGTACCACAGGGATCAGTACTTGGTCCACTGCTTTTTAACTTGTTCATTAATGATTTGGAGTTGGGAGTAAGCAGTGAAGTGGCTAAATTTGCGGATGATACAAAGTTGTTCAGGGTGGTGAAAACCAGTGAGGATTGTGAGGCACTCCAAAGGGATCTGTCAAAGATGGGCAAGTGGGCGTCAACATGGCAAATGGGGTTCAATGTGGCCAAGTGCAAGGTGATGCACATTGGAGCCAAAAATCCTAAATATAAATACACATTGATGGGGTCTGAACTGGCAGAGACTGAGCAAGAGAGAGATCTTGGAGTTGTAGTGGATAACTCACTGAAAATGTCGAGACAGTGTGTGACTGCAATAAAGAAGGCCAATGCTATGCTGGGGATTATTAGGAAGGGTATTGAAAACAGATCAGCCAATATAATAATGCCCCTATATAAATCAATGGTGAGACCTCATTTGGAATACTGTGTGCAGTTCTGGGCACCACACCTTAAAAAGGATATTATAGCTTTGGAAAAAGTGCAGAAAAGGGCAACTCGAATGATAAAAGGGTTGGAACACTTTCCCTATGAGGAAAGGTTAAAGCGCTTAGGGCTCTTTAGCTTGGAGAAAAGACGACTGAGGGGTGACATGATCGAGGTTTATAAGATTATGCATGGGAAAGAGCAGGTAGAGAAAGAGGTACTTTTCTCCCTTTCTCACAATACAAGAACCCGTGGGCACTCCATGAAATTGCTGAGCGGTCGGGTTAGAACGGATAAAAGGAAGTACTTCTTCACCCAAAGAGTGATTAACACATGGAATTCACTGCCACAGGAAGTGGTGGGTGCTACAAGCATGGACGGCTTTGTCCTGGCCCCACTGGTGGACCTCCTGATGGCACCTGGTATTTCTGGCCACTGTCTGACACAGAGTGTTGGACTGGATGGGCCTTTGGCCTGATCCAAGATTGGCATCTCTTATGTTCTTAATGGGATTTCCCCCTCCCCTCAGAAGGAAGCCACTCTGGCTCTGCCTGGCCTCAGCATTAAAGGATGCTGGCAGCTGCACCGGGCCTGGCTGTGGCAGAGGAGGATGCCAGCAGCTGTGCTGAGCTCAGCTGAGCTGCGATGGCAGAGGACACTGGCAGCCACACAGAGCCCAGCTGTGGCAGAGGAGGACACTGGGTTCATCCCCTCCCATGAGTCTTCTCACCCCCCACTGGAGAATTAGCTGTGATGATGGAAGGAATCCCCCACACACAAGAGTATTGTGGGTCACTCACCACTTGTCAGATTCTATACTTAGAGTTAGATAATCAACATCTCTTATGAGTCCCTCTTGTAATGACCACGAATGTGTGTTTCTTAGGTGAGGTCTGGCAATCCCCTGGAATTACAACTGACCTCCAGATATGTCTTCAACGCTTTGAAATAAATTTTGCTTTTCTTGAAAACGTGGATTTATTCTCGATGCTTGGGGATCCAACACTCCCCAAACCTCACCCTCCCAAAGCTGTACTACCAAATATCCACGATCTTCCCAACCCACAGCTGGTAAACCTAATGTTCCTGGATGTGCATTTTGAAATTTTCTCCTTTCCATTTCCAGTTGCTATCCATGTAGAACCTATCCTCTAAAAATATATAGAATGTCCCTTTATATACATTAAAAAGGAGGAGGGCAGTAGAAGGATCAGACAGGATGACAGTCCTAACATCTTCCTGTTGTCTTCCAGGAAAGGTAGTTTCTAACAGGACGGTGGACTATGAAGAAGTACAGTGGTTGAACTTCACTGTTCGGGCTTCAGACAATGGGTCGCCACGGAGATCAGCTGAGATTCCAGTGTATCTAGAAATTGTAGATGTCAATGATAATAACCCCATCTTCAGTCAGCCCTCCTACCAGGTGAATTGGAACAGGCTGTATGTGTAATAAGCCCTGGTTTCAGGGTTTTGGATTTAAGAAGGCGGAGCCAGAAGCAGGGAAGGGGAGAAATGTCCGTTAGAAAATGACAGAGAGGGAGAGAGAAGGAGGGAGGGAGAGAAGATGGTCTCTGTAAGAAATAAAGTAGAGGACAACTGATTTTGTTATTTTATTGTTCTGGTATAGTAGTAGATGTGTTAAGAGTTCTTTAGTCTGTTTATATTCTTACTGACATTATATTAAATATAGGACTATCTAAAGTACAATCCACCTTGTCTCTGCCTCTTCCCACCTATTAAGACTGTAAAAATTCTGATGTGTGGGAAGGTCAATAAAGATACGGAGCTGTGCTGGAGCAAATTAGATCCTCCACTGTTTAGTACTCTTGACACTGCATATTTCCCAACTGACTACGTCACACAACTGACCACTATGACAAATCTCATTTTAAATAACCCTACTATGTGCTGTGATAATTGCTACTAACTAGGAATATTTCGAACCTTTCTTGTTTTTAAATAACAGTTTTAATTGATTTGTTTAGGCTAAATAATAGCAACATTTAATGATAGCAACAATTGATCTGGTTACAATTATTGAATTTTAAACACATAACTAATTATAAAATGAAATTATATATGAAATCCTTGTATCAGTACGAATAAAAATATACCTTGTGGTCAGTCTCTTTTAGGTCCACTTTGTTTTTCCTCCTTAAGCTGACTAGCCCCAGTGTAGTCCTCTGTAGATCACACCTTTTTCAACAATTATTGCTTAAGAGATAGGTGTGGAATTCTTTGCGAGTAATGTGCCTATAATTGTACTGGACTAATAATATATCTCAAAGTCATTCCAAGGAGAAGTTGCTTCTTTCTTTGCTCCACTGACTTTCCATCAGAGAGAAAATGTGTTTTATGTTCACATTATGGGACAGAATGGCAAAAAAAGAACTGTGCAATCTTTAAAAGTTCTGAGTGACACAAAATGTTTTTGGACCTCTCAGAGTACTCCTGATATGCCTGAAGATTAATGAATTCATCATCACCTTTGCATTCATTCACAAACTTCTTGAGGTTGCTGAATTGGTCGAGGCATTTCACATCATCTATGGCCACACCCCTGTCCAAGATACATTTGATGTAAGACTCTATTGTTTTCCACTTGGGTGACTCACTAAGACACATCCACATAAAGCATGAAAAGTCTTTCATCATAGGCTCCATCCTTTTTTCCAGATATTCTATGCAGTTGTCATATAAGCTATTTAGTTCAGCTCAGAATATGTCACACTCTGCATTAAGACCATCCTTACGCCTTTCTTTTAGCAGACTCTTAACTTTGAGGGACATAAAGTTGTTGCTCTTTCATTTAGTGAGCATGGCGTGAACAGATAGCAAGACTTTAAGCACTTCTACAACTGAATTATTTTCTTTTTCCAGTTCTTTAGTAGGTGAATGAAACATATACATAAAAGAATGTAAGTGCCACAGATAAACCTCACCGAACTGATGTTTAAAGAACTTCTTGATCACTGTTGGTGGTTTATTCTGTGTGAGAGAGAAATGCCTTGATTTCTGGGAACATATGAACTAGCCTAGTGATGCCTGGAAATAATGACAGACACCTTGTCTTGCTATGAGGCAGCAGCTTTTAGTACTCAATGTCTACAAATTCACAGTATTCCTTTAACTGCTCTGTTCAAACTGTATAGATGTGAAAATGCTGATATATCTTGAAAATGATGCTGTCAACATTGACCCTCCAGCGTGCTGCTTGATGAACACAGTTATTCAAAATGTGCGCTGGACGTCCCTCGGCAATTAAGGCTTTGTTATCTAATAGCTTCTTCGAATTTGCAAACATAGTTTTTCCCTCAGAATCCTGTCGCAGTCCTCCAGACTTTGTGTGGTAGTTGTCTCCTGTGAATGCTATGCATTTCTGAAGTAATCCTTTGCTTTCAGAGGTCTCCTTCAGATATGATGAAATTGTGTCTGCAGTCTTATTGAGTTGGCTTTGCAGTCAAACTAGTTTGAACTCCAAACCACCACTTTTCCAATCAGAATATTGAACAATTATTGCAAACAGCTTTACAGAACCGTGATTGCTCCCATCAGTAGAAACTTCACAGTAACTTATTTCTTCAGTACTTTCCAAAACATTTTCAACAGAATAGGGCACCAAGACAGAATTTGTAACAGCCTCTGTCTTACTTCTTGCATTAATTTTTTTTATTCCAAATCTGGGAATATCCTCTTTAGTAGGCCTGTCACTTTGTAACAATTGTGGTGCTTAACGGTGTGGAAAGCGGAAAGCACTTTCGGCTGCAGCTACTTCATCTTCTAATTTGCTACCTGGTTTTACGAAGAATTCTGTCAATTTTCCTGAAGACATTTCTCCTCGTACTGCTCTCTTGTGTTTTTTCAGAATCCACACAGGCTTGCAAATCTAGCCCTCCTTTATTCGCCACAGACACAAACATACCTGGTTTACATATCATGCATCTGGCTTCGAAATCTTCTCTACCACTTCTAAAACAGGAACACTTTTGGTAAAAAGAGGACATCTGGTAACCCTACATGAATTGCAACTTTGATATGTTGTAAGAATATAAACATTGTTGTCCATCTACTCTGAAATTTCCCTCTGGCTCTGGCACGACAGATGTCCCAGAGAAACCCACAAGCAGGCTATAATGATGATTGCTGTGACTTGTTGTCTGAAAGTTCAGGTCAGCTTTTGCATCTAATATCAACTGATGAACCAAGAATTTGTCTAACTCTTTTAGAACAATCTATGCTAGTAGCTATCCTGGGGCCGTGAATTTCAATGGATTACCTGTTGCGTGAGTCACAGATTAGGCTTTATCATCGTATTGTGATAAACGGGTTCCTTAACTGACTGTGTGAATCAGATCTAACATGTCTTTTGATTAATAGTACCAGCCACTGATATTGACTTCAGTTGTCTCCTCTTCCGCTTTCAGAAACCTGTCTTTGAGGATGTCCCTTTGGGCTCTGTCATCTTGAGGGTCCGAGCCACTGATGCCGACTCTGGACGCTTTGCCCTTCTCCAGTACAGTCTGGGAGATGGGGAGGGCAAGTTTGGGATCAACCCGAACACGGTAATAAGCTTAACCAACATGTAGCTCTTGGGCTAGTCACGCCTGCATGAGTTTTATCTTTGTTTTGTATTTGAATTATTTGCTATTGTGCAACTATAAATTATAAATGATTACACCATAGAGGAGCAGCTCTCACATTAGTTTAAGAGCTACTGACCAGCAGGGGAGACAGGGGACACATACTTGCAATCTCTAAGGCTAGTTTTGATTTAACTTACACACACACACATTTCCTACCCCCAAAATAATTTCCTCCCCCCCCCCAAAAAAAAGTGTGTTCCCTGACTGATTTATGATGTGGATCAACAACTGTAAGTGTATAAGCTGTGTCTATGAATGCTTTCGATAATTTTCTGAAGGTCTTTGTTCCAGGGGGATATCTACATTCTATCGGCCCTGGACCGAGAAAAAAAAGATCATTATACATTGACGGCTGTAGCCAGAGACAATCCAGGTGACATTTCTAGTAACCGCCGAGAGAACTCTGTGCAGGTAACTGGTAACACAGACAATTTATCACAGGTTTTCACACACAGAATTGCCATTTTCTTTGCAGTAGGCAAAATTTCATGTAATCTGTTTTGTCCTCCATATGTTACTTTCATTCCGGATTTCTAAGCAAAAAAATGTGCTGTTATTGCAGAGTCCCGGGGGGGGGGGGGGAGTAAAGCAAAGCAGACAAAAGCCTTAATAAAGTGGTAAATGTACAGAAGTTCAAGGCATATGAAAGGCAAGTGAATTTTAAAAATTAAGCTACTACTGAATAAAGAAAGGAACAAATAGTCTTAGAATGCAAGAAGAAGAACAGATGTTATGGGGAAAGGGAGAAAGGTAGTGTAAATTGAAACTACAGGCCAGTTCTTACCGTAGAGCAGGGGTCCCCAACGTGGTGCCCACCAACAATTTTCCTGGTTCCCACAAAGTGTTTTTACAAAATGGATGGGGCCAGGTGGGGCTTTTGCCCAGCAGGGCCTTTGACTGATCTTTGGCAATTTGATTGGTTGTGCAGATTTTTAAAGATGTTGCTTTGGCAGCAGTTGCCAACCACAGGACAAGGGTCTTCACTGTGTGACTGAAGATAAGCTGCTTCAGCCAGTTTCTGGCTGGCTCCACCTCCTGCAGCAGCTATTTGTGGCAGCCACTTGGTGGCTGTGCCAGAGTTCCAAAGGGGCCCACAGGCTGGAAAAGGTGGGGAACCCCTGCCTTGGAGGAACGTTATAAATGCTCATCACCATGTTGTTCCAGTAAACTTGGAATTCAGGAAATGCATTCCAGGAGCAAGACTGCATGAGGGCAAAAAATTACACTAGTATGAGAAGCCAGATAAGAAGGTGAAGTGTGGCTCAGGTCTTTCCTATATGCATCTAACCCTCCCATGTGGCTTCTGCATTCCTGTATTACCTGAGCAAGATGGGGTAGAACTATGAAGAAGCAGCTAACACACCAATCTTATAAAGTAAGAATTTGCCTTAGTGCCCTTAGTGAGAAGAATTACTATAAAAGCCATGGATGTGTGTTGTTGTTGTATACAGTCTTATACTATGGGGTTGGGAAAGTCACCGCAATCATGCAATGCAGAATGCCCAGAGTCTACTCTGCGCATAACCACAATAGTGCCTTGTTTTTATTTCAGGTCTTGATTACGGTCCTGGACATCAATGACTACCGGCCTCAGTTTGCCAAAAAGCAATTCAGCACCAGTGTGTATGAAAATGAGCCAGCAGGAACCTCTGTGATCACCATGACTGCTACTGACCTTGATGAGGGAGACAATGGAATAGTGGCATACAATATCGAAGGACCTGGAGTAGGTATGTAGCCCCCTTAATAGTGTTTAGGCATGTCAATAGTTGTAGATGGATACTGGTTAATATCCTAGTGATTTTCAAAGACACAAAGACCAACTCAGGCATCCTCCCCAGGGATGGACTGGTTGGCTAAAATGGCCCTGGAGAAGGATCATACCCTCTTTTGCAGCCGCATACCCCATACCTCATGGAGAGAAGGAGGTGCCATCATGGTCCTCCATGCCAGCTGCACCATGCCCAGGCCAGCAGGCAAATGCATGCACGGCCATGCATCTCCTCTGAAGACATGCTATGCCTCACTGGCACAGGGCAAAGTCAGGGGAGACACTGCTATCCTATGCGCCTGCTCACCAGCCTGGGCACAGTGAGGTCAGTGAAGTGGAGTACAGAAAATGTCAGACTCCTCCTTGCTGGCTATACCACAATTGTGTCGATAGTGCAAAGCCAGGCACTAGCTGCAGTGCACCAGGACAAAGCTGGGCACTGCTGTGCCTGTGCTCTTCATTGCTGGCCTGGGCATGGTGGGGCTGTCAAGGATGGACATGGGTAAAGCCAGGCACCACTGTGCCCATGTTCCTCTCTGCTAGTTTGGGTGTAGTTGGGCTGACAAAGAGGGAAATAAGAACATAAGAGACGCCAAGATTGGATCAGGCCAAAGGCCCATCTAATCCAACACTCTGTCACACAGTGGCCAAAAATACCAGGTGCCATCAGGAGGTCCAGCAGTGGGGCCAGGACATTAGAAGCCCTCCCACTGTTGATCCCCCCAAGCACCAAGATGACAGAGCATCACTTGCCCCAGAGTCCCTATCTATACCTTACCTCTGCTCCATATGCTTATCTAATTCCCTTTTGAAGCCGTCCATGCTTGTAGCACCCACCACTTCCTGTGGCAGTGAATTCCATGTGTTAATCACTCTTTGGGTGAAGAAGTACTTCCTTTTATCCGTTCTAACCCGACCGCTCTGCAGTTTCATGGAGTGCCCACGAGTTCTTGTATTGTGAGAAAGGGAGAAAAGTACCTCTTTCTTTACCTGCTCTTTCCCATGCATAATCTTATAAACCTCGATCATGTCACCCCTCAGTCGTCTTTTCTCCAAGCTAAAGAGCCCTAAGCGCTTTAACCTTTCCTCATAGGGAAAGTGTTCCAACCCTTTTATCATTCGAGTTGCCCTTTTCTGCACTTTTTCCAAAGCTATAATATCCTTTTTAAGGTGTGGTGCCCAGAACTGCACACAGTATTCCAAATGAGGTCTCACCATTGATTTATATAGGGGCATTATTATATTGGCTGATCTGTTTTCAATACCCTTCCTAATAATCCCCAGCATAGCATTGGCCTTCTTTATTGCAGTCACACACTGTCTCGACATTTTCAGTGAGTTATCCACTACAACTCCAAGATCTCTCTCTTGCTCAGTCTCTGCCAGTTCAGACCCCATCAATGTGTATTTATATTTAGGATTTTTGGCTCCAATGTGCATCACCTTGCACTTGGCCACATTGAACCCCATTTGCCATGTTGACGCCCACTCGCCCATCTTTGACAGATCCCTTTGGAGTGCCTCACAATCCTCACTGGTTTTCACCACCCTGAACAACTTTGTATCATCTGCAAATTTAGCCACTTCACTGCTTACTCCCATCTCCAAATCATTAATGAACAAGTTAAAAAGCAGTGGACCAAGTACTGATCCCTGCGGTACCCCACTGCTTACCACCCTCCACTGAGAAAATTGCCCACCTACACTCACTCTCTGTTTTCTATGAACTAGCCAGTTTTTGATCCATAAAAGGACTTGTCCTTTTATCCCATGATTTTTGAGCTTGCTTAGGAGCCTTTGATGAGGAACTTTATCAAAAGCTTTCTGGAAGTCAAGGTAAACAATATCTATTGGATCCCCCTTGTCCACATGTTTGTTCACCCCCTCAAAGAACATTAACAGGTTTGTGAGACAAGATCTTCCCTTACAGAACCCATGTTGAGTCTGCCTCAATAGGTTTTGTTCATCTATGTGCCTACTAATTCTTTCCTTAATAATGGTTTCCACCAATTTACCCGGTATCGACGTCAGAGTGACTGGCCTGTAATTTCCCGGATCTCCTCTGGAACCCTTTTTAAAGATGGGAGTGACATTAGCTACCTTCCAGTCCTCAGGAATGGAGGCAGATTTTAAGGAAAGATTACATATTTTTGTCAGAAGATCCACAAGCACTAATGAGCACTAATGGCATAGGCTGAAGCCAAGTACCACTGTGCCAGTGCTCCTGTTCACTGGCCTGGGCAAGAAGCAACATAAGCACAATGGCTCCTGGCTTCTCCCTGTGTCAACTGTACTCTTACTCCTCCTTACCCGTGGATGGAGAGGGCTTAGGGCAGCAGCCACTAGGATTTCCTTCAGTAGAGTAAATGGCCAGTCTGCCTCTGTTTCCTCCTATTTTATATAAATGATTGCTATGCCGGCCACATGACCACGGAAACATCTTTGGACAGCACTGGCTCTTCGGCTTGGAAACGGAGATCAGCACCGCAACCCTAGAGTCAGATTCGACTGGCTTTCGAGCAAGGGAAACCTTTACTGTATATGTACTGTATGTACATATACAGCCAAATGTGTTATCATATTTTGTACCCATGCTTAGTTATTAGCATTACTCATGAAAATCAGTTTCATTTAGAAATTGTGATGTGCAAAATACTGTACCAACTGATGCTATTTATCATTACATGAAACCTGGAAGCAGGGGTCATTTCGTAGAAAAAGAGGTGCCGGAGCTCATTAGCATAACTTATTAGCATAACTTATTTGTATATGCCACACCCCCTGACATCACCAGAAGTGTGCCAGAAGGCAACACCCGCCACTCAGGCTCCACTGGACTGTTTTGGATTGCTAGCTATTGGGGAACGTGCAGATTTGTCCTCACAGAGGAGGAATAGCTTGTACCTGAAGGCGGGCCAGGGGGGGGGGCTCTGCAACTTACCTGGCTGCTTCTTGCTCCTCGTGGGCTGACTGAGGGCTGTTGGGAGCAGGGGGCGGGGCTTGTTGCATGTGCCCGCCCCCTGGGCTCCTTCCTGCCAGAGCTCCGCTACTGTGCGCTCCCGCAGGAAATGACCCCTGCCTGGAAGACAGGTTACCGTTCCCTTTTTAACAAGTTGTGCATTACACCTGAGGTGGATCCTGAGTCAGTTCTCACCACAGTCCTCATCCCTGCATGGAACCATACTGGCTCTGGCTACTCTGCAGCTGGAAGAATCCTTATAGGTGCAGTTAATTAGGACCTGGAAAAGTGCTTTTCCTCCAGTCCTAAACCCCATCCCAGAACTCATTTTGATTCAACATGATCAGAGCTTTAAAAAGTGTATAGATTCCTGACTGGTGGGAGGGAAAAATAGTAGAGTCAGATGCATGCCCCACAAGGAGCAAACCCAACTCCTATTCTCCCCCTTCAGGGTACAGTAAGCATTGGGGTCTTGATCAGGCCCATTTCCCTTCTCCCTTCTATCTTCCTTTTCTTTTAAACTGATGGTCAGCTATCCGCAGCATTCCACGAGCCTGAGGGTCATAAGCACCTTCAGATCTTCTTCGTGGTCTCTGTGCAAGCCACACACCATGGGTTTCACGCCTACGCTGAGCCCTGGCTGGGAAGCCTAAAAAAGCTTAACATACAACCTACCCCACGCGGAGTCCACCCCAGTCTCGCGCAGCCCTCCCGCACTGCACATGCTCGGTGACTGAGGCAGACTCCACCTCCACCCAGTTCATTGTTAACCGCCTCCTGACCAGACGTTATTCTTTGTCGTCCGGGAAGCCGCCTCAGGATTAAAATAACTTGAACAGACATTAGTAACACTAGTAAAAAACAGTCAGTTTAATTTCTCTCACATAGTCCCATAGCTCACGGGGGCTGCTTATGGGACCGACTCCTTTTTTTAAACAGTGCCTGAATTGTGCAGTGAAGATCCCCCCAACTGATGGGCACGACCGTTGCTTGCGCTGCCTGTGGGAGAATCACAAGCCTGGCACCTGTTTAAACTGTAAGGGGTTTACCAGTCAAGCAAGAAAAAACAGGGCAGCTCGCCTCAAAGTTTTTCTCTTAGAGCGATCCCTAGCTCCTGTTATGGCAGAGCCCAAGGGATCTCACCAGTCACCGCCTCCCCCACACATTGAGCGGGGAGATTCGGTGTAACGGTCTCCAGGCGCGTCTACGCATAAGAAAGCGAAAGCAGACAAACAGCCCAAGAGAACTGCTGGATCTCGCCAATTGCCACCTCCCCCACACATTGAGCGGGGAGAATCAGCGCAATGGTCTCTGGGCACATCTATGCATAAGAAAGCCAAGAGACGGGCTGGGGCAAGCAAAAGCTCCTCAAAGACAAAGCACTGTAGGTCAGCTAGCACAGGACCTAAGGAGATCTCGCAGCCCGTGGACGAGCGTCACCAGTCAAAGCCAAAAATACAACTGATACTTGTGACTGGGCTGTCCTCTGACTCGCCCTCAGTTAAGCGAGTAGATACCCATTTGGGGGCAATGGCTTGTCAATCAACCCAGACGCTGTTGCCGGGATCCAGCCAAGCCCGGGTGTATGCAGCGCAGGCATGATCTCCATCTGTACAGTCGGTGCCGCCACTTCAAATCCTGGCGGAGGATGGGTCCACACTGGGCCGTCAAACGCCAGACCGTTCTTACAGTGTGCACTCGCAATACCGCTCCCCTGGGTTCGGCTACAGCTCACCTAGCGAGTACTCAGGGCTGGATGAGAGGGGGTGTTGGAGTCCTGCTCCATTGCTGCCAGGCCCCTCACACTACTCGCATTATCATGCCGGTCAGCGCCCGCGCACCATTCGATCACGGTCCCGGTCTCCTTCCCGCACAGGAGATAGATGCCGAGAACAGCACATTGAAAAGAACTCCCGATGGGCGGGGGCACATAAGTCGGAGCAGTACTTTCTGTCTGAACAGCGGGAACCGTCTGGCCGTAAGGGGCGTTCCCCCCTATC